AATGTTAAATATAGAGCTTGTTTGGGAAAATCAGGACACCAAGTGATTGCTAGTGAAAGGAAAAGACAATCATTGGTGATTAAAAAAAAAAACACATCTGCATTGAAAAAGGCAGAGATGGAGATGGAACAGAGGTGCTATTCAGAAGGTTCCGGAGAACTGGTAGTGGAAATTTTGAGTAGTTTGGAGAACCGGTAAATACCACCTCTGACTGGGCCCACCCCCATCTATTCTCTGCCTCCTGAGTCCCAGCTGATTGGGAGGAAATGGGGATTTTGCAGTAAGCTTCCCCTGGAGTGGGGTGGAAATGTAGATTTTACAGTATCCTTCCCCTGCCATGCCCACCAAGCCATGCCCACAGAAGCAGTAGTAAAAAAAAGTTTGAAACCCACCACTGAGATGGAAGATTGTCATTGTGCAGAGCACATTGGTGGTTTCTGGTTTGATTGGAAGAGTTGGTTATAGATTGTAGTTTAACATCTAGCCAGCATTGTCTGGTTCTGAAGCCGAAGTTGGGTAGTCCTTAACATACAACTGCAATAGGGGCCAGAATTTCCATTCATAAGGAAACAGATGTTAAGAATGAATTGTGCCTGATTTTAAGACTTCAGTTATTTGTATGTGACCGTTGTTAAGCGAATCCCCTGCAGTTGTTAAATGAATCATGCAGTCGTTAAGCGAATCCATCTTCCCCCATTGGCATAGCAATAGCCCTTAGACTTAGATACTGCTTCACAGTGCTTTTACAGCCCTCTCTAAGCAATTTACAGAGTCAGCCTCTTGCCCCCAACAATCTGGGTCCTCATGTTACCGACCTCCGAAGGATGGAAGGCTGAGTCAACCTCGAGATGATTAGGATCAAACTGTTGTTGGTCGGCACAATTAACCAGCAGTAGTGCATTCTAACCACTGAGCACCATGGAAGGAAGGAAGGAAGGAAGGAAGGAAGGAAGGAAGGAAGGAAGGAGGGAGGGAAGGAGACTCCTAGAAAAGCTCTGGAGGCCGGGGACAGCAAGAAACATCACTTCCTGTCCAACTGGAAGTTGGAAACAGGCCGTTTCGGGCCTCCTGAGGGCCTCCGAGGGGGTGGGGAAGCCTGTTTTCGCCCTCCCCAGATGCATAGAGGGGACCTGGAGCCAGGTGAGAAAGAAAAACGGGCCTACCAGGCCATCACGTGCCAGGAGCGGGGGGGAGGCGGGTCACACACGCATGTGCAGAGTGGGGCGCATAGAATTATGGGTGTGGGCACACACACGCGCAAACCTTCCCCCCTCCTGGCACGCAGTGGCAAAAAGGTTAGCCATCCCTGCCTTTGGGCCATTTGCTCTCCGGTCAGAGAGCAAATGGTCCAATGGCAAGAAGAGTCCTTCGTTTCCTTGAATGACAAGGTGAGAGAAGAGAGAAACATGGTTGATACGGTTGCCTAGCAGCACTTCAGCTACCATCGCATTAGCATCTCTTGTCTCTCTCTCTGATCTTCAGGTCATCTTTCATCCCAGGAGTCTCCAGCCTGCATATTTGCCCTCCCAAATCTTCTGAGAACTCTTAGTTATAAATATTCCACTCTTCTGATTCATCATATCTTGAGGTGTGAGTCTTAAATGAGAGAGAGAGAGAGTGAAAAAAAGAGGAAGAAGCAGATAGTGTGAATGTATTCGACACATATAGAGTCTTCTCTGGTTCTTCACAACACGGATATTGCAGCTCGAAGGTGACCAAAGAGATCATAAACAGGATCATAAACCTGTGAAACGGGAGGTCTAACCCTCGCCCACCCAGTAGGAAGCCTTCCTTGACGGTGCAAGCATTCGAGAGCGGAAGAGACTTGACGGGGTTTTTACCTTTCTGAAAAGTGAAAAAGAAAACACCCATTTAAGCAAAAAAGAAAAAGAAAAAAAAGCAGTGATGTAGTTGCAGAATTCATTCCCCCCCCTTTTTTTTTAGCTTAAAAAAAGAGACAGGAACAAAACGGGGATGTGATTGTGCATAATGCGAACATTATGAGAAACAGATAGATCAAAGGAACGGATTTCATCTAGTCAAACTGAGATACTGCGACCACCACAATGATCTTGGTAATAGACCTACCTAGACATTTTTAAAGGGCCAATTGTAAAGCCACCTAAGCTTTGGACTGAACGTCGGTGAGATTTGAAGCTCTTTCCAAATTAGTATCCTATTAGTATCCTATGACTATCACTGTTGTGTCTTCTGATTCTTGACAAATATATTTTATTTTTTCTTTATGTACACTTAGAGCATATGCACCAAAGACAAATTCCATGTGTCCAATCACACTTGGCCAATAAAGAAATTCTGTTCTATTCTATATTCCATTCCATTCATATTCTATTCTATTCTATTCATTTCTATTCTATTCTATTTATCTATATCTTTTGTTACTACTTATGCACCAAAGACAATTCTATATCCAATCACACTTCAATATTCTTCTATTCTATTCTATTCTATTCTATTCTATTCTATTCTATTCTATTCTATTCTATTCTATTCTATTCTATTCTATTCTATATTCCATTCTATTCTATTCTATCCTACTCTACTACCCTACCCTACTCTACTCTACTCTACTCTATTCTATTCTACTCTATATTCCCTATTCTACTCTCTACTCTACTCTACTCTACTTACTACTCTACTCTATATTCCTGTGCTATTCTATTCTATTCTATTCTATTCTATTCTATTCTATTCTATTCTATTCTATTTACTCTACTCTACTCTACTCTACTCTACTCTACTCTACTCTACTCTACTCTACTCTATTCTATTCTATTCCTAGGTTGTGTTGGAAGAAACATCCATCTGGGTTCAGTACCAAGTGGGGAAAAAGACACTGGAAACAGGGAGACTGCTTGGAAAGATGGTTTAATGGTGGACAGGAATCACATGGCTTGAGTTACTGAGCAAAATCACATGGCTTGAGTTACGATGATGAGTAAAACCCGAGATGCTGGAAGTGCCTTGGTTTTATGCTCTCTGTTGGGACCCACCTCTGAGTTTCTTGTTCCTGTATAAGAAATGTATCCTGGTTGGTTGTCAAACTCCCAAGTTGGTCTAGGGGTCTCAGCTAACTTTGTAGGTTGTCTCTCAAGCTTGTTTGAGTCTTGCCATGTGGTGAGTTTCTGTTGCTAGATGGGTCCTATTGTGTTGCAGATGATGGCGCATTGGCAAAAGTGAGGGGAAATGAGTGAGCCTGGCTGAGGCCTTAATGGCCCATTGACAAAAGTGTGTGTATAGTATAATATGGCCAATCCAGGTAGTTGTCCCCCCTCAAAAATCTTCACTTCTAAGGGCCAGCAATGATAGGTGGAGAATATGTAATCAAATCTACGGTTGGCAGTGTTGTGAAACCCTACTTCTAGCACCTTTTGCGTTGATCCATTGTTGACCTTGATGATCTTCTGTTATTTGTTTATCTTCTTTCAAATTATCTCTTGTAATTAGACTCCATCTCCTGCTCTCCAGGGGAAGCCGGCTTCAAATGAGGATTGCTTAAAAGCAATTACATTTTGATATTGGAGATCTGTACACATAAAATGTAGTATCGCTTCCAATTAAAAAATAGTAATGAATTTTATGTCCTGAGAGACAGAAGAGTCTAAGCAATGCTATTGTGTCTTACCAATGCTACTGGGGTAGTACAAGAAGACTGCAGCACAAACCTATTTTGGTTAATGTCTTTGGATTCTCTTGCTCACATAGAGATCTAAGTCCAACCTACCTTGAATTCTGTTGTCTCTTTATCTACCACGATTGCTTTGACCATTAGTAGTCCTGATTCTGTAGAGAGTGTTAGCATACAATAAACTTGTATATTCATTTTGAATTTCCTGGACTCTTGATTTCAAAGTGCTTGACTATCATCTATCATATAGGAGATGGACTATCTATCTATCTATCTATCTTATCTATCTATCTATCTATCTATCTATCTTTCAATCCTTCAATCCATCTATCCATATATGAGATCTGTCTGTCTATCTACTATCACTATCTATCATCCATCCATCTACCTATCCATCCATTCATTCATCCATTCATCCATCATCGATATAGGAGATGTACTATCTATCCTATCTATCTATCTATCTATCTATCTATCTATTCTATCTATCTTTCAAATCCATTCACCCACCCACCCATCCATCATCCATATAGGAGATGACCATCTATCTATCTAATATCTGTCTATCTTTCAATCCATCCATCAACGATCCATCCATCCAATATAGGAGATGACCATCTATCTATCTATCTATCTGTCTTTCTTTCCATCCATCCATCCATCCATATAGGAGATTACTATCTATCTATCTATCTATCTATCTATCTATCTATCTATCAACTATCTATCTATCTATCTATCCATCTATCTATTCATCCATCCATCCATCCATCCATCCATATAGGAGATGACTATCTATCTATATCTATTATCTATCTATCTATCTATGTATCTATCATCTATATCTCTATATCTATATCTCCATCTATCTTATCATAATTCCTATTCTATCTCTCATCTATCTATCTATCTATCTATCTATCTATCTACTATCTCTCTTCTTCTCTCCATCCAATCCATCTCCTCCTATGATCTATCTATCTATCTATCTCTCTCTCTATCTATTATCTATCTTTCACCTCCATCCATCCATCCATATATATAGGAGATGACCAGAGTGAGCCCGAGGGAGGGAGCAAGCATATCATCAGTCTCGAGTCCCTTTGCACCTACAAGAAATCTAAGTGCAGCCCACCTTGAATTCCGTCGATTCTTCTCCACCGCCAGTTTGCTTCAACCATTAATAGTTCAGATTCTTGTAGAGAGCTTTAAGCTTGCAATAAACCTTTATATTCATTTGAACTGCCAGGACTTCCTGACTTACTCTGTACTTAACACTATAACTCTGACCCACTCCCTTGATTTTCCAAACTAAGTGCTTCTGTATTTCCGTTTTTTTTTTCCTTCCCAGGTCTAGCCAAGCCAATGGGATTAGTTGAAGGCCCAGGAGGCTTGGGCCAAGGAGGAATGGCTGCCACCCTGAGAGACGACAGCCATGAATCTGAAACAAAATATGAAGAATATGGTTACAACGCACAACTGAGCGATCGGATTTCATTGGACAGATCTATTCCAGACTACAGACCCAAAAAGTAAGTGAGCTCTTTACGTGACCAACCACTGGTGAAAATTACTCTGTTGCCTGTACTTGTTTTGCACAGATCCTCAAAGTTGCATTAATTATAGACTGGGAAATTATAATTTCTAGCGTACGAATACTGAAAAACTATAATCTGTAGGGCATTGTTAAGATTCTTGTTTTTCTCATTTGTTTCATACTGTTTTATGCTTTGCTTTTGTTCTTTTTAATTCCTGTTTCTATTTACAAGGGCATGATTGGTTTCTTGGATTGAGGGCAGGGCAAGAAGCAACGGGTGGAAACTCATCAAGGAGAGAAGCAACTTAGAACTAAGGAGAAATTTCTTTACCGTGAGAACAATTAATCCGTGGAACAATTTGCCTCCGGAAATTATAAATGCTCCAACATTGGAGGTTTTTAAGAAGAGATTGGACAGCCATTTGTCTGAAGTGATGTAGGGTTTTCTGCCTAAGCAGAGAGTTGGATTAGAAGACCTCCAAGGTCCCATCCAACTCTGTTAATCTATTCTATTCTAAACTATGAAACCATGGATGGTTCCTTCTGAGGGGTTTAACACAGGAGTGAAATCTACTTACTTTCCCAACTGGTTCGGAAGTGCAAGCGATGCTCTATAGCTGTGATGGCAAACCTATGGCACGCATAGCCATATCAGTGGGCATGCGAGCTCAGCTCTGGCGCACATGTGCACGCCAGCCAGCTGATTTTCGGGCCTTCTGGGCCCACCAGAAGTAGAGAAACAGACTGTTTCCTGCCTCTGGAGGGCCTCAGTGGGTGGTGAGGAAGGCCCGTTTTTCTCTCTCCCCAGGCTCCAGAGCCTTTCTAGGTGGGACCAAAAGTTAGCAAATGGGCCATTTCTCACCTCCAGAGGCCCTCCGGGGGGGAGGGGATCGGGGAAGGCCATTTTCGCCCTCCCCAGGCTCCTAGAAAGGCTCTGGAGCCTGGAGAGAAAGAGAAACGGGCCTACCAGGCCAACCGGGCCATTGTGTGCCAGGAGCCAGGAGGGGGGGGGGTCACGCATGCATGCATGGGGGCGGGAGGCATAGAATTATGGGTGTGGGCACGTGCACACCCAATCCCCCCTGCGCTCCCCCCCCCCGCTCCTGGCACGCGATGGCAAAAAGGCTATGGCTACCAACCTGCCTTCCATTGAGGGCCTCTATAGCGTCGTTTTGAGGGTGGGAGTTGAAACAGTTTATGTCCAGGATGCGAGGGATCTGTAGATATTTTCACAGCCCTCTTTTTGACTCGTGCGGTATTCAGGTCCTCCATGGAAGGCAGGTTGGTAGCCATGTTTTTTTCTTGATAAATGTCTACGGAGATTCTCAGTCATCCACGTCATGGTTGCCCCAAAGATGCTTTTTCAAAAGACAACTGAACTTCCTTGTTTTGTCCTCGGAGACAGTTCGCTTCTCATCCAAGAAGCTTCTTCAGCTCAGAGAAGATTATGTTTACATCAAGGTTAGCCTTGAATAAGCTACCAGTTACACATAGCTGGTTAAATATTTGGAGGGGAGACTGCCCAAAACACCAGGGATGTCTGTCCTAAAAAAAATATCAGCATTCTGGATGAAGATGATAACAAACCACATTTGTATTGCTACCAAGAAAACAGCATGGATGTATCCACAAAGTCACCAGGAGTCTTGGTGGTTTAACTTTCCCATTTTTAAAAGCAGAAAACAATGTTTTATCCCCGTGACTTTATTCCTTTCCCTCCTTAAAGATGTGCAAGGGCCCAAATGTTTGTATCTTGTAGTTTCTCTAGCAGATTAACAGAGTTGGAAGGGACCTTGTAGGTCATCCAGTCCAAACCCCCGAAGCAGGAGACCCTACACCGTTTCTAACAGATGGCAGTCCAGTCTCTTCTTGAAGGCCTCCAATGATGAAGCTCCCACAACTTCCGAAGGCAGCTTCTGTTCCATCGGTTGATTGTTCTTATTGTCAGAAAGTTCCTCCTTATTTCCAGGTTGAATCTCTCCTTGTTCAGTTTCCATCCATTGTTCCTTGTCTGGCCTTCGGGTGCTTTGGAAAATAGCTTGACCCCCTCCTCTCTGTGGCAGCCCCTCAAATATTGGAAGACTCCTCTCCTGTCTCCCCTGGTCCTTCTCTTCATTGGACTAGCCATGCCCAGTTCCTGCAACCGTTCTTTGTATGTTTTAGCCTCCAGTCCCCTAATCATCCTGGTTGCTCTCCTCTGCACTCTTTCTAGAGTCTTAACATCTTTTTTATAGTGTGGTGACCAAAACTGGATGCAGGATTCTAGGTGTGGCCTTACTATGGCTTTATAGAGTGGTATTAGTACCTCCCTTGATCTTCATTGTTTCCCTCTGTTAATGCAACTTAAGATTCCATCGGCTTATTTGGCTGCTACACTGTTGGCTCATATTTAATTGGTTGTCCCTCTCACAGTCACTGCTATTAAGCCTGGTTTCACCTCAGATTCTGACGTCTTCATGGAGACATCCATGTGGGTTTCTTACCAGTCATGATTGAAGTGGTTGGCTCATATTTAATTGTGTGAAGGAGATCCTGCCCCTTACAACCATTTGTCTAGTGAGTCTTACTTCTAGGTGTGGTCTTACTAATCCCAGCAAGACAAAGCTCAAGGCTTGCTTAGACCCAGTTTTAGCAGCTGCCCTTGGACACTAGATCAAGCGTGGACAGTTTTAATGTTGATATTGTGAGTTTCCCCATGCAGCTGTCTCTAATGTTGTCCGAAGGATGCAAAAGGGGATTGATCCAGTAGTTGGTTTCAAATTTTTTTACTACCAATTCTGTGGGCGTGGCTTGGTGGGCGTGGCAGGGGAAGGATACTGCAAAATCACCATTTCCTCCAGATCCGCTGGGACTTGGGAGGCAGAGAATAGATGGGGGTGGGGCCAGTCAGAATTTTTACTACCAGTTCTCTGAACTACTCAAAATTTCCGCTACCGGTTCTCCAGAACTGGTCAGAACCTGCTGAAACCCACCTCTGGATTGATCACATGACTAGCAAATATGAACCCATTGCCAAACAGCTGGGAATGTTGATGGGAATGCTGCAAAGGTTGCAGCTACGAAAAATGCCCATCTTTTTCCAGTTGTAACTTCGAACAGTCACTAAACGAACTGTCGTAAGGGCAGGACTATATGTATGTTTTAATGATAACTGGCTTATTGGGAAAGGAGCTAATTTAACCTACCTGGGTGTCCTTGTATTAACCTCGCTTTTCAGGAGATGAGAAATTTTATATTATTTATTTGACTCACAGCAGGCATTTCTCTCCCCCAACCCCACCGGTTTCCCTGCCCCAGTTGTCGGGTGGGAGAAAGATTGCCCAGCTCCTAGACATGATGACTTGGTAACTCTCTCCTGCTTTAAATCCTCCCATTGAGAATGAGTGAGAACCATCAACCCGTGGAACAGAAGTTGCCTTCGGAAATTGTGGGAGCTTCATCCCTGGAAGCTTTCAAGAAGAGACTGGACTGCCATCGGTCAGAAATGGTCTAGGGTCTCCTGCTTGGGCGGGGTGGAAGTGGGGTTGGACTAGATGACCTACAAGGTCCCTTCCAACTCTTGCTAATCTGAATCTAATGCTCATAGTTTTGATGCAAAACTCTACTCTTTTGCAGATTTCTTTCCGCCACGCCTCCCTTTTGTTTTACATTCATTTGCCTCGTGCTGGCTTTTGAAACCATATGAGCTAAGACCCTCCTTTAAAACATAGCAGTCTTTGTTTCCCCTCCTCCCCCCCTCCCCGCAAAAAAAAATAAACACCTGTCATACATGGTTTGGTCTACCCACCTTTCCAGAATGAGTAGGACTCACTTTGGCAGCCATCTCCAATGTTTATCCGCACATGAAGTGAGGTGCAGAAAATATTATTACAAAGTGAGACATGAATGCCCAACAGGATGAGACACCTTCTCCTCTTGTCGTTATGCAGATAAGATTCCCCTCAGGAGGAACTGAAAGCTGGAAACATGTTATATTTGTACCGGTTTATTTAGAGGATGTTGTTTTGCAGGTTGGGAGGGGATATTTCCAGGGGACACGACGACATATATTATGGAAATCCTATTTAGTTCTTTTTCTTTTGTAATTTTATTTATACATTTTTCTTTAGCATGCATAAAAGGGCTTAGTAAACGGTGTACTGTCTGAGTCAATTTAACTTATACATAATAATAGCAAGAGACTTGATATACCACTTTACAGTGCTTTTACAGCCCTCTCTAAGCGGTTTACAGAGTCAGCCTCTTGCCCCCAACAATCTGAGTCCTCATTTTACCCACCTCGGAAGGCTGAGTCAACCTTGAACTGGTCAGGATTGAACTGCGTTTTAATTGCAAAATTAGCTTGCAATACTGCATTCTAATCACAAGGAAGGAAGGAAGGAAGGAAGGAAGGAAGGAAGGAAGGAAGGAAGGAAGGAAGGAAGGAGGGAGGGAGGGAGGGAGGGAGGGAGGGAGGGAAGGAAGGAAGGAAGGAAGGAAGGAAGGAAGGAAGGAAGGAAGGAAGGAAGGGACAATAGCAATAGCACTTAGACTTATATACCACTTCATAGTGCTTTTACAGCCCTTTCTAAGCGGTTTACAGAATCAGCCTCTTGTCCCCAACAATCTGGGTCCTCATTTTACCCACCTTGGAAGGATAGAAGGCTGAGTCAACTTTGAGCCTGGTGAGATTCCTGAAGGCCTTCGCAGCCGATAACAGAGCTCCGGATTGATCCAGAGTTCTGTTATCGGTTGCAAAGGCCTTCAGGAAAGCCTTGCTGGCTGCAGGAGAAATGGGTTGAGGTGTGTGAGGCCCAATTGCAACTGTCCAAAGGTAAATAGTTGGGTAGCTCCACCCCCTCCATCCCCACTCTAGCTTAATTTTTACCTGTGCATCCTGGAGTGGGCGGGATCTTAATTAGGGCTTATTTTTGGGGTGGTAGGGCTTATATTGGGTGTACGTGTAAAAATCAAGCTAGGACTTACTTTCTGAGTAGGGTGTATTTTCGGGGAAAG